CTCAATTCCAGTCCTCATGGACCCCCAACAGGTCATGTTTTCAGGATTTCCATTATTTTGCACAGGTGATTTGATCAGTTTCACTGCCTTAGTAATTACCACAGCTGTTTCATCTGAGGGAAATCCTGAAAACATGACCTGTTGGGGGTCCATGAGGACTGGAGTTGAGAAACACAGGGTTAAGGTAAAGAAAATCGCTCAATTCCCCCATCAATACATTCAGTGTTGATGTGGAAGCCCCCCACCCCCATGGAGCTATTGTGCTCTGAAAGTGGAAGGTTTCTCAGCAGTAGAATACAATGATCACTGCTTGCGGAGAAAAAAACTGCTGCGTTACTCTGCAATACTTGTTACTTTAGTATACCATACTGTGTCGCTCTGGAAGGACTGTGTCCATTTATTCATACACTGTTTATTTACTTTTAATTGCTACTAATAAAATTTAATTGAATTACTACACTATGGGCATTCCCCTTATGGCTCTTTGGTGAGCTTTTAATTCCCCAGAGATCCCCCTGGTGACCATCCTTGGTTTATGAAAAGGCTGATTATATGTCCTTAAAGTGGACCCCCGGATGTAAAGATACCCTGACGTTAACCTACCTTTCTTAAGCTTTATCATTTAAGAGGGACTCCGGGCAGACCTCCGTGTGATTAAATACATTGCGCATTTTCCTTGCGCATCTGGTGAGTGTGCACTTTATCTACTTGTTGCCACTCAACCTTTATGTTGGATTACCACTGGGATTAATCGCGTCACCTAGGGGCTCATGCATGACCTTGGAATCTATTTATGGACTTTTATTAATGGTTTTAATGAATTTACATGATGTTCATTTATGGTTTTTACATAGCCTACACACTTTTTTGACTTTATTATATTATCTCACTATTATATTATGTTTATATAGTTTTTTTAGCGCTGCACTTTCTTATCTTAGTTACTCTGAAGGGTTTATGGTTTCCTTTTTAGTGCATAGCTGCTTCTCTGTTCATTAAGCACTCACTGATACTCTTTCTTTATCCGGAGAAAAAACCTGACAAGCTGGTTGTACTAAAGCTGATCAATAGATCGACTTCAGTACAACCAGCCTGCCCATACATTTATTAAACTTCAGCAGGAACCGGCCAAATTTTGATCTGTCTATGGCCAGCTTAAGAAGTGAATGCTGCCCTTTGAGCATCCCAAAATAAAAAAAAATATAAAAAATGCCCCATTGACGAAAAATTTAGATAAAGCCCACTTTTTCTTTTAAAAAGAAGCCTTGCAACAACAAAAAGCAGTTTACCCTAAAAAAGGCCTCATCAGCATAAAATAAAGTCAACATAGCCCTCAAATAAATGAGAAACTCAAAATTGTAGCCCCTAAAAAAAAAAAGCCCACTAGTTATTTTTTTTCTTAAGGATGGGACAGCAGCTAAAAGCAATCATCGACTTTAAAATCTTCTACAAAGAAAAATCAATACAAGGCCTTTAGTAAGGATAAAAGATAGCAAAGCAGCTGATGGCCTAAGGAGCCATAAATATTATTATTATTATACAGTATTTATATAGCGCCAACAGTTTGCACAGCGCTGTACATTATAGGAATTAAAATACAGTTTCCCAACTTGTCAGCTACTCCTCTCCTTTCCCCATGACAGCTGCCAATACCCGGACAATGACTACTCTATACCCCACCACCTTTTTATAGTGAGGGGTAAGAATGGGTATTGCAACCAATATAGCATGTTTGTAAGAGTGCAGAGTGTCTTGACCAGAATTTGCACCATAGACCCTAGTAATGCAAGGCAGAAGTACTAACCACTGTATTGCCCATTAACCACATCCAGTCTGGACACTTTTACCCCCTTCCTGTCCAGGCCACTTTTCAGCTTTTCAGTGCTATCACACTTTGAATGACAATTGCGCGGTCATGCAACACTGTACCCATATGAATTTTTTTAGCATTTTTTTGAGACAGGTAAAGCTTTATTTTGGTGGTATTTATTCACCACTGGGATTTTTATTTTTTTTTTGCTATGTAAATTAAAAAGTCCAAAAATTTTGAAAAAAAGTGTTTTTCTTATAAATATTTTGCAAATAGTATTTCATCATAAATCTTGGCCAAAATGTATTCCGTTATATTTAGTTAAAAAAAAAATAACCCAAATTAGTTTATAACCAAAAATTATAATTTGTAAACATTTTTTTTTTTACTTTTTTTTTTTTTTTTTTATATATTTTTTTTTCACACACTGTCACCCTAGCAGTACAGTGTCACCATGGCAACACTGTAACACTTGTGGGGGGTGATGAAAGTTTTTTTTTTTTTTTTTTTTTTTACACTGATTGCTTTTACACCTATAAAGGATGTAAAATCAATCATTTCTCCTTCTCTCTAGCTGCATTCTTGCAGTCATTGAGAACTACTGAGTGAGCTGTGATTGGTCACAGCTTGTCACATGGTACAAGGCTGTTGTGAATAGCCTTGTACTATGTGACCTCTGTGATCATTCACTGATTTCACACGTAGTAAGCAATGATGTCACAAGTGACATCTTGCTTACTACTCTGCATGTGATCACTGATTGGCCAATCAGTGATCACATGGGGACCTCGCAGAGAGGTCCTGTCCGACGATCGGTGTTCCACTGTGTCCAGAGGACACAGCAAGCACCAGATCGCGGTGCTGCGCGGTCCCCGGGGAGCGCGCACAAGCAGGGTGCGGTGAGGCCATTTATAAACGGCCACCCAACCCTGCACTACCACCGTCTGGCCGTTTATATACAACGGCCGGACGGGAGGTGGTTAATATTTTACACAATAATGCTCCATGCATACTGGCTTAAAAATGCTGCTCCTGGAGGATTTTAGTGTAATTTTATCCTATATGTCCATGCACATTAGGTTGTTTAGAGGCATATTTTATACTCTGCATTTAGAGACAAAAAAAATCTATTTTGCTTTTTTTTGAGAGCAGTTTTCTGGCAGAAAAAAAAACGCTAAAAGCTGCTAAATGCTCCTAAACACTAGTACAAAAAAGCTAAAAATTTGCTTTTTCTCTGCCAACAGCACTGACTTTAAACCAGTGTGCATGAACCTTAAAATTAACTGGAAACCTGTTTTATTTACTGATCTGTAAAAAAATAAATTTTTTCATAGGTTGCATTAAAAAATGTGACTGTCACTTAAAGCAGGCTAGTTTATACAAGTGATAGTGACTAACTAGGGTTCCTAGGAGGACTTACCGTAGGTTCACATCTAAACATTTTCGACAGCATTTTGCAGAAACACACTACAGTCCATTTAACATGTTTTGGAATGGGACACGTTCACATCTCCGCATTCTCACCCGATGCGTTTTTTTGGAAAGGGTCAGGGCCAGTTCACACTACATGCATTTCAGTTGCTTTTTTTCTGCATCCAATATGCACATGGTTGTCAATGTCATAGTTCACATCAGTGCTTGCAGTTCCAGTGCGTTCTAATTGCAGAAAAAAAGTAGAACATGCTGCATTTTTTTCTGCACAGAACTATACTGGAATGCAGTAAAATGCATTGGAACACAGAAACACACAAAAAACACACTGGAACTCATATGTCCCTATTTAAATTGAAGAAAAAGAAGGGGGAAAAAATTAACTGAAATGGCTAAAAAAATGCACTGGAACACGTCAAAACTGTACATGTGGAAACGCATCTAGACTGCGTTTCTATAGTGTGAACCGACCCTCACCCAAGGTTCACACCTAAGTGTTTTCTGCAGCAGTACAGTCCATTTAACATGAGGACAGGTTCACATCTCCGAGTTTTTACCTGGTGCATTTTTTGGAAAGGGTCAGGGACTTTTTTGAACGGAAAAAGTTGCGTTTTTGTCTCTACAGACTTCAATGGAAATGCTGCAGAAAGGCATGTATTGCGTTTTTGATGCATTTTGTGTTTTTAAATCTGCCTAGCAACAAGACAAATTTTTAAAAATTTAAAAAAGAAAAAAGCAAGCGCAAAAGCGCAAAATGCAATGTAGAAACGGCTCAAATGCAACCTGCATAGGTGTGAGCCTAGCCTCATGCTGTACACATGACCAGGCCTGACTGTATGGGTCTGCAAGACAGTTAAAGAATTCCAGTTACAGATAAAAATTGCAACTCTCCATGTCTACATACAATTATTATAATAGTCGCTCAGAAGTACATGTGTTGTGGTTTTAAAACATTTCCTAGAATCTCCGGGGGTTGTCAGTCAAACGCATGTAGGAATTCTACTGTTAGAGCAATTATCTCTGCATACTTAGCTAGCCCAACAATTTATATGAGCAAGCTGACATTGATGAGCATTATTTGTTAGTTTACAGGCCAAAAGCTGGAACCAATCAAAATAAAGATGTTATGAGATCCAAACTATGGAGTATTCTCAGATACTGTAGCTTTTAAACTGCAAGTGTTTCCGATTCAGCAGACTTTGTGGAGTGAGTACTACGAGTGGCACAAGCTTACCTCTGCAAAACTTTTTAGCCCTTTAACCTCCCTAGCGGTCTGATTATGTCCATATTTCTGTGCTCAAAGCGGTACTTTTTTTGCATGGAAATATGTATTTTTTTTATTGTAGGCCTGTAATTTTTAGGAATAACTCACTGAAATCTGTCCGAACAAGAGTCTAGTAAACATCCCGGGTATGTTACAAAATCATAAATTATAATTAAATAATCATAAAAAATAATAATACATTTAATTTCAATAATATAATCAAACCAAAAACACTGAAAATTTGAAATATAGCGCCAAGTTCGCAAATCACTGAGCAAAGTCGCAAAATCGTTTTTAGTATCTGATGACGAATTTCCCCACGAATCATCACTCAATTCTGCAAGTGGTTCTGATTTACTATCACTGTTCTCTAGCTGGTCTAAAACCGATTTTGACCTAAAGAGACGCTTTTTGGACGCCATGGACGTTTCTCAGTTTCCAGGCAGAAAACAGTAAAAATGCAGGCAGGGCATAGGACAAAGCACTAGGGACAAAATGTATGTGAAATGGTTTGATACAGTAATGTTTTACTATGTGATTTTAGTGAATTTAGTGAATGTCACTTTTTGTCATATTCAAATTTCCTGCCAGTTCCATCCCCGTACGTCCCGATGCTCGCAGGGAACGGAACCCGGAAGACAGATGCCGGCATCGGCCGGAGGACATTACAGGGGATGCTGCAGGAGGGACATCGCAGGAGCGCAGGACAAGGTAAAAGAACAACAGATCCCGGAGCAGCGCCACATGGTATTCCCAAGTATAGCTCAGGGTTACCGCTTGTGGTACTGAAACTTTACCCTGAGCTACACTCGGGAATACCGCCAGGGGGGTTAAATGTTTCTGTTGATATATGGGGAAGTGATCAATGTAATAAATCTTAGTCCATCATAATCATTTTGAAAACTTTTCTACTGTGTGTATAATATGTAATTACAGGCGTGTTTAGGTTTACAAACGCCTCGGTTAACGTAATTTTCGGTTTCCAAATGAAAATCTATTGAAAATAATGCCTCAGTTTACAAATTTGTTTCGCACTACGAACGGATTAATTGGTTTTCAATGCATTTACAAATTTTTTTTAATCATGTTCCTGAACAGTACTATGCCTTTAAACTGCACTTCATAAAGAGTTTTGAACAAATAAGATTTTTTTTTTTTTTTTTTACTTTTTTCTGACCTCTGGAATGGATTAAGTGGTTTTCAATGCATTCCTATGGGAAACCACATTTTGGTTTACGAAGTTTTCGCAATACGAAAAGTCCCACAGAAAGCATTACATTCGTGAACCGAGGTACACCTGTATATGTGCACATAAGGGCAGCATTATTTGCTTATCACACATGCAAGCTCTGCTTCCTGCTCTACAGTGCAATACAATAGCACTGTCCACCACTCTCCATGGAGGTCTACGGGTCTGGTCTGCCCCACTGAAAACTGTCAGACCAGTTTGTTTCAAACTCTTTAAGCCTGGGTTCACATGTACGGTATATCGCATGTGATTCGCACAGGAGCCGCACCGCATTCCTGCGCAAATCACATGCGAATTGTGTGCGGTGCGATTGGAGACATACATTTTGTCGCACCACATCCCCATCAAAAAGGTGCAGGACCCTTTTTCTAGTTCGCACTAGAATCTGATCACATGGGCATTCACACCCATGCGATGCGATTCTGCACATCGCACCACATTTTGCTGACCGATTTCGGGGTGTTAACATAAGCACACGCAGCAGTTCGCATGAGCGGGTGCGATTGTGATGCGGTGCGGGATTTGTACTGAAAACGCTGCAAATTCCGCACCGCATCAGTATGAACCCATGCTAAATCTAACAGAAAACCCAGAGATCAGCTTTAAGTTTTTGTAGACATAATGAAATACAGATCTTCCTGTACTAAGTAAACTACAAGTTTTAGTGCTTTGTTCAAAAAAGAAAATGTGCCATTGAAAGCTTGTAATAATACTAATAATAATCGACTGCGAAGCAATGAAAATTACACTTCTAATTCTTTAGTGCTTTCTGGATCATACTGGGCTAATTAAACAGATGAAATATTTACTGTCCAGTTAAATACTCAAGGTGGAAAGGTGACAAAGGAAGCTCAGTTGGTATACCAAGAAATTAGTGTTTCACCTGCCTTGCTCTGTAGAGTAGATGTGTATAAATCACAAGACAGACTGTGCAGAATTTGAAAGGAAAAGCAGTATCATCCTTATTTTCAAACTGTTTGCTTAGTGGTCTTTTTTTTAAGATAAACAATACATTAATATCTGAAATGTTTACTGAAAATACATTAAAGATAAATCTGGTCATACGCTGATCAAAAATTGGCTTGTTCAGCAGAGTCCGGATGAATTTTGATCAGTTTGTGGCTGTCCCTGCTCGACAGAAATCGATTATTTGATCAACTTCTGTTGAAGCGGCATGCTGCAAAGATTTTGTCGATCAGCTGTTAATCAGCTGCGGATGCTCATCAGTGTATTCTCACAAATGTGGATCCCGCTGTCAGAATACAATGTGTCTGTGAAGGGGTTTCCCCTCCTCGTCTTTCAGAACTGCACCTTGAGATCTGGGCTCCTCCCCACTTGAGGAAACCCCTCCAGCCAGATTAGTTTCTCCATCCACCAAGATTAAAGTGTAGCCTTCCCACACAGACCTAGAGCGTGGTAACGCCTCCCTACGGTGTGCCAGCAAATGGAGCTCCCTGGCTGGGCCAGATGACGGGGGTGGGACTTCCTCCCGGGTCCTTTGACATGTGGACTGGAGTAAGGCCGGTGCAGCAGAGGGCTGCTTCAGAGGATGCAGAGGCAGGCTACGCAGGACCTCAGGGCGGACCACCACCATGGGTCATATCCAGAGCAGAGGCACCAGGACCAGGTGACGCCAGCACCAGCCAATCTTGGGTAGATGGCTTAGAGGATCCTTTTCCCCTATCTTATTGGCCCCTAGCTCCAGGGGGTGTCCTCAGCCCTCCTGTTGGTCGGAGGGAAAAGGGTAAGGGGTGGGGGTTTTCAGCTTAGGAAATGCCCACGACCTGCCAGAGGCCTGCCAGAGACTGCAAGGAGAGGGGGTGGAAGCCAGGTTTGTCTGTGGTGTAATGTTTTCAGGGACAAGATCAAGCCACGCTATGGGTATAAAAAAGTGCCCTTCATGCAGGGTGACCCTCAAAGACTCCTGGACGAAGGTGCTGTGTGGGTTCTGTATAGAGGGCCTTATTAAGGAGGACCTGGTTAAATCAGAGAACTGATGGCTACTTTTGATTCCTTGAGGTCCCGGTTGAGAATTTATCTTTGCCTCAGACACAGAGCTCACTCCCTCCACTCCAACAGACAGAGGCAGCTGCTCTTCAGGGTTTCCCAGCAACCAGTAGGCAGGTGGGGGGGTCCGAGGGCCAAGTCGGTTGAGGAGGATCCATCCCTGGATTCGGATTCCCAGGTGGAATCTGAAGGGGAGGGTCCTTCAAGCGAGTCTAAAGGTACCTTTAGATATAAGTTGTTCCTGGAGGAGCTCGATGACTTACTGGGAGCAGTTTATGCCACCTTGGAGATTAAGGAGGATAGAAATCCCCTCACGTTGGATTTGTCCGCAGTGTGGAATAAGAGCCCCAAGCTTGATGAGGCATTCTCTCAGGTAGCCAGGAAAATGGATTTTGCCTTTGAGGATATGGGGGTCTTGTCTGACACCATGGACAAAGGGTGGATTGCCTTCTTAAAAAGAGCTGGGATTCCACACTATCCAACCTAAAGCCTGCCATGGCCACTACAGTGGTAGCCCTGAACATGGAATACTGGCTTGCACATCTACAGGACAATATTGTTGCAGGTTCCCCGAAGGAGAAAATACTAGCCTCCTTCCAGACCTTACTACAGGGATTGGTTATACTGCAGATGCCTCAGCAGAGTCAGTGAAGATGACGGCGAGGTCAGAGACCCTGACTTACAAGGGAACACTGCCTCCAAATTTAAGCTTTGTGGCATTCACAGGGGATCTTCTTTTTGGGCCTGGTCTTGAAACATTGTTGGATCGCACCATGGACAAGAAAAAGGCCTTTCCCTTAAGAAAAAGCTCCAGGCGTGGGAGGGGGGTTCTTATTTTGTCCCCAGAAGCCGGTACAGGCCATTAGGCCAGAGAAGCAGAAGAGGCCCTGCGGGCAAAAAGGAAGGGGCAGGGGAGGAGTAATTTTTTTTCTCCCATTATGAACCTCAGACCCTTGAACGAGATTATAAAATACAAGAGATTCCGTATAGATTCCATAATTTCAGTCAGGTCTCTTCTCCCCTTACACCCCCCCCCCCAACTGCTTTCTAGCCTCAATAGACCTAAAGGATGCTTTCTTACATGTCCTAATTTAGGAGTCCTTTCAGAAGTTCCTCAGGTTGGCAGTACAGGGCACCAGGGGAATCCCTCACCTGCAGCTCCTTGCTCTTTGGGTTTTCCTCCTCGCCCAGGATTTTCACAAAAATCATGGCTGAGGCCCTGGTGTCTCTTCATCTAAGGGGAATCTGGGAATCTCGCTGGTGGTTTACCTGGACAATCTCCTGTTATTTGCAGATTCAGAGAAACAGCTGATGCAGGACATAACCTTGGTGGTAAGACACCTGGAAAGTTTAGGCTGGCTTATAAACTTAGCCAAGTTGAGTTTGGTCCTTGCCCAAAGGATGGTGTACCTGGGCTACAAGCTGGATTCCAACCTTCAGAAAACCGTCCTACCACAAGATTCTAAAGTTGTACGGGGGAATCAGGCAGCGGCTAGGGAACCAGGCTGTGTCCCTAAGAGTGCATGTCAGTATTATCCTTGTCCATCCTGGCAGTACAGTGTGCCGATTTGCATTTGCGGCCCCTCCAGCTGTTCATTCTGGACGTCTGGGATCGCCGGCAGGAGTCTCTGGACTCATTGGTGCAGGTACCCCCCCGGGTGAAGAGGACTCTCTGGTGGTGGAGGAGGTCAACCAATTTGACTCAGGGTCTGTTATGGGTCCTACCTATCTCTAGAGAAGTTACAACGGACGCGTGTGCCAGAGGTTGGGGAACGCACCTAGAGGGGTCCATGGAACAGGGTTCTTGACTACCAAAAGAGGAGGGCAGATCCTTGAACTGGAAAGAACTCAAAGCTGTGTCGAGGGCACTTGTGGCCTTCTAGGAGCAGCTGTTGGGACAACACGTGCGGGTGCTCTCAGATAATTCCTCCATCATGGTGTACGTCAACAGACAGGGAGGGACTTGAAACAAAACTCTGTGGTCCCTGGCTTCGGAACTGCTCACGTGGGCCGAGGCCAATATAGCCTCCCTATCCGCGTTCACCTGAAGGGGGATTTGAAACCAAGTGGCAGACTTTCTCAGCAGAAGGCAGCTGAGGGAATCAGAATGGGTGCTCAGTTGGGAGATTTACCAAACCATCATAAGGCAGTGGGGGTCTCCATCCATAGACCTTTTCACGATGAGCCAGAATGCCAAGGTCCTGTTTTTTTTCTCCTTAAATTGTTGGGCCAGGGTGTTGGTGGCGGATGCTCTAGCATAGCAACTGGACTTTCCCCTGTTACGCCTCTCCCCCCCCCGAGTGAACTTCCCTGATCCTTATAGCCCCGCACTGGCCCAAGCAGGCTTGGTTTTTGGCCCTGGCTGCTTGCCCTCCTTGGATGTTGCCGTGCCAAGAGGACTTTCTTTCACAGGGCCCGGTCCTTTGTCCCCAGGTGGACAGGTGGAAGCTAGCAGTCTGGTTTCTGAGGAACAGCTGCTGAGGAGTTTTCTGCTAGGATAGTATTCACCCTCTAAAAAGTAGAAAAGAAGAAACTCATTCAATCCACCTTAAGGTCTGGAAACTCTAACAGATGG